TGCGATTTGACTTGTGGTAGGTCATGCGATTTGACTTCTGGTAGGTCATGCGATTTGACTTCTGGTAGGTCATGCGATTTGACTTCTGGTAGGTCACGCGATTTGCTTCTGGGAGGTCACGCGATTTGACTTCTGGTAGGTCATGTGCTTGGTTGTTATCATATTAGATAACAGTTTTAATCCAAGTTGTTCTGTAACTAAACAGGATTGTATGTCTTGTGTAATACTCCTGGATACAATTTCTAACTGTATTGTGAAACCTATACATCTTGAAAACAATTCCATCTTGAGTACAATGCTTGCCATAAAAAAGTTTATTTTAAGATTAGGTCTAAAATGCTTGGCTGCAGTGTCAGTCCTCATTACAATTTAAATAACCCACTGCTGGAGAGACTGTAAGGAGATTATTCAGACTTCATTATTAGCAGAATTCGATACTGGAGAAGGAAACTTTCTATGGTTATCTATGCATAATTTGCTAGATTAAAATTTAGTACATTCAACTATTAGAGAAATAAGCCAAAATAGAATCCAGATAAAATAAAATCTGTATTAGAAGCCGCAGTTTCTATTAAAATGGTACAATGCAATGGAGGGGATTCGGCTTCTATTCTACACGTATTAGGAATTACGAATTTTTGATTCTCAATTGTTCAAGAAAGAATGTGGGCAGCTGGTGAATTGCATTAGGGATGCAGCTTCTAATACAGATTTTCCAGGTAATAATAATTATATAATGTATTGCCTGGAGCTATGTTTTTATGAATTCAATAAAACTAGAAATCATGACGTCAGAATTCTGTATAGGGCAGTTGTCATTCTTAAATCTTGCAAGAATAATGCAAATCTCTGTGAAAATCTCTTAAAAGCATGTCTAGAAAAGTGACAGGAAATGTCTATATCTACCATGGATTGCTATAGGCACTTGTGACACTAAATATCCAAGTTCGTAAAAGGGCCACTTTTAAAACCTTGGATTTAAGATCAGAATTCAGTTAATATGAAAGAATATGGTGAACCATAACCTGTGTACATCCGTTCATTGATGAGATTGCATGATGTTTTGCTTTTTTTTTTAAAAAAAGGCATGATCTCTTATTTTTTGTATCTTAATTTCTTCTCCAGGGCTTAATACTTAAACAACGTGAAATGGAAGTGGGAATGACACCGCTGATCCACTAGGTGCCTGGATGGCTCAAATTTATGCATACTCGCTGTAACAAATGTTATGTAACCAATCTTCTGAAGTAGCTTTTAATGAGGTCCATCCTGAAATGGATTACCATTCATGCATGGTACGGTCTATACTCCCTGTACTTATTTCAGTTTGCAGAGATTGAATTACTTGATGGAAAATTAAACAAGGGTAATCACTGTTTTATGGTATAGCAAGAATTTCAATGTAAAAACAGGAGGATACGTTAGGATTCAAAAAGCCTGAAAGTATTTTTGAGCTTTACCACACTTAATAATGTGCTTATTCACATTCAATGATTTTATAAAGTAAGGATATCTCAACGCTCTATTTTTTTCTGAAAAATCGGCATTGAAATATGAATAAAATATTTTAAAGTTCAAAGTCAAATTATTTGAGTTTTGCGACAGGCGTTAGATATGCACCTTTACTGTAATACGCAAGATCTCGCAGTAAGCAGAAGATCACTAATTGGTGAGCTTTGTTGAAGACCTGAGTACCTGTAATGTAAATATGTCTTCCTTTGCTTGACACAAATACAAGCAAACTATGTAAATACAGGACATTCATGTTGTCATGGTTTTGAGTGATCCCATTTTCTTGAAGCTTCACAATTTGTTATCACATCCTGCGTGTGAATTGTATATCGATTAGATATGTACCTCCTAGAGGGAGATAGAGCAGAAGTTCCCATTACAAATGTGAGATTCTGGTTAAACAAAATTATAGACAATTTTTCAATCATCAATCACTTGTGTAAAGAATAAGACGTGATTGTATTGAGATAAAGACACAGGTAATGTTTTTATGTCATCTTGAAACAAAATCCCATTGGGAGAAAATTTATTGGTCCCTCCCTTAAATTAGCATATCATTTGCAAATAGCATACTAATTACCTGATTACTCACCTGCTTATTGTAAACAGACATTGATATTCTATGTGAGCACGGGACAGTCAGATCTTGCTGCAATTAAACCTGGTCGGTGACCTCGGTAAATCTTATTGCGTAAATTCATAGTGAGGTCATTGACAAAACTCCTTGTTTATATCCATTATAAAGATTGTATTTATTATATATCCGTTACATACACTTTTTTTTTTTAACCCAAGGTTGTTATTTTAATGTCTGCATTAGTCAGGCTGTATCATCGCTTAAAACGTCCATAAATCGTTATTTCTTGATAAATGTGCACATATTGAATTGCTGATTTGTACCCAACAACTACTATAATTTCATGCCATTCATTATATTTTTGTTTCATTCCTGATCAATATAATTTATATTCTGATCAATATTTTATTTTAATTGATAATTGCCATAATTTTACAAGTGACTCGTACTTAGTAATGTTGTCATAGAAACCACTGTATTCTTTTTATGTACATTTTTATTTGGCTGCGTTGGCTTTTTATTGGAAACACCCACTCTTTTTTTTTGTGTGAACAAATGGTGTATCATTTTATATATAAGCAATGACTGAGTTTAATGTACCGGTAATCCCATCCATTTGATTTTTTATGTAAATATTGTGATTTTTTTAAAACTATACGAGTATCAAAAAATAATAAAAAATATTTCTATACTGCAGTAAGTTCATATCATTATTTTGTGTTTATGTATTGGTGAGTGGCATGGTGAAGGGATTGAAAGATGACCTTCTAAGGCATGAAAGAGACTCCATTGTGATAAGTCCATTGTTTTTCCCCCCAAGAATAATGGACATTTCTGAATGTGCTTGTGTTGATTATATCAGAAATGGCATACCAAAATAAATAGTTATGAATATAATAGTAAATCTTCCAAATGATCTTGTAGGCACTTAGCTTGGGCCAAGTTCAATTTCACTTTCTTTAAACAGGTCCGATTTAGCCCAGTGCTACAACCCCCCCCCCCCGATTTGTATAGGGAAAAGCGTCTATTCATTCATTCAATTTCTATTCATCAACATGACACGCTGTTGTTTATCAATACGTGTATATCAATATTGTTGTAAAAAAAATGATTTTCTGAAAAATAAGACTAACTTAGTGGTTTTTATAAAAATTACAAATTAGAATTTGTTTAATGTTGAACTCAAATTTCTTTTTAGCTCCGCTGTCAACTTTTTCGAGCGGAGCTTATCATATGAGTGATTGTACGTCGTCGTCCGTGTCAATGTTTTACTTTTTCGACTTCTTCTTGAAAACTACAAGCCTGAATGCTTTGATACTTGGTTTATATGTACCTTGGGTAGACCTCTCTTAGGTTTGTTCATTTCATGTTGATATCTTCAATTCTCTAATTTTGGTGAATATTTTTGTCATTTTTGGTAAAAAGTGATATTTTCGACTTCTTGTTAAAAACCGCAAGTCCGATTGCTTTCATATTACATATATAGGTACTACATGTGGACCTCTCTCAGATTTGTTCATTTTGTGATGATGTCTTCAATTCTCTAATTTTGGTGAATATTTTTGTAATTTTTGGTAAAAAGTGATATTTTCAACTTGTTAAAAACCAATAGTTCAATTGCTTTGATATTACATATATAGATACGGTACTACATGTCGACCTTTCTCAGATTTGTTCATTTCGTGATGATATCTTCGATTCTTTAATTTTGGTGAATATTTTTGTCATTTTTGGTAAAAAGTGATATTTTCGACTTCTTGTTAAAAACCAAAAGTTCAATTGCTTTGATATTACATATATAGATACTACATGTAGACCTTTCTCAGATTTGTTCATTTCGTGATGATATCTTCAATTTTCTAATTTTGATGAATATTTTTGTAATTTTTGGTAAAAAGTGATATTTTCAACTTGTTAAAAACCAATAGTTCAATTGCTTTGATATTACATATATAGATACGGTACTACATGTCGACCTTTCTCAGATTTGTTCATTTCGTGATGATATCTTCGATTCTTTAATTTTGGTGAATATTTTTGTCATTTTTGGTAAAAAGTGATATTTTCGACTTCTTGTTAAAAACCAAAAGTTCAATTGCTTTGATATTACATATATAGATACATGTACTACATGTAGACCTTTCTCAGATTTGTTCATTTCGTGATGATATCTTCAATTTTCTAATTTTGATGAATATTTTTGTCATTTTTAGTAGAAAGTGATATTTTCGACTTCTTGTTAAAAACTGTAAGTCCGATTGCTTTGATAATGTACATATTGTTCATTTTCTAATGATGTCTTCAGTTCTTTAATTGAAATGTGCATTGCTAACAGCGGAGCTATCTCAGTCGATAGACTGCTTGTTTATGATTGTTTTAAATTTGAAAAGCTGAAGAATGTTAATTCAGATTCTTCGTTGGCTCAAAAATAATTTGATAATCAGTTGATATTTTAGGAAAAAATCACTGAATTGGGTAAAAGAATTTATATATTCGGATTTAAAAAACAGAATTTCAAAATTCATAATGAATGGAAATTAAACCAGAAGTGTTATTGTTACCACTTTCTGAGGGTCTAGTTGTTCTGAAGTTTTTATGGCAATTAAACCAATAGCAGTCACATTACTTTTTCCTCCATGTTTTTACTCTGAAAACGGCAAAAAAACATCACCAAACACATTGATCTGAAATTTGATTTTTGACTCTTGTACGTGGAGCACACAATGGGAGTCATTGTACCAGTACTTTGTATGTATGTATGTATGTATGTGTGTGTGTCTGTATGTGTTTTTCTATGTGTTCCACTGATATCTCAAGAACCATATGCATAGATACTGTGGGCTAATGCACAGATTTGATTGGGTGCATATTATTTCCTAATTTGCATGTTAATTAGCTAATTTTTAGCTGTTCCATGACACTTCCACTGATATCTAAAGAACCACTTATTGGATTTTGATGAAACTTGGTACATAGATACTCTTGGACAATGTGCAGATTCGGTAAAATCCAAGCGAATTAATTACTCAATTTACCAAATGATTGGTCAATTTTCGCCTTTTCCACTGATATCTCAATTACTAATCATAATACTTTACAATGAAACTTGGTAGTAGAAGTCATAAGACAATGCACATACCTGATAAGTTTTGGGTTAATATCCAAGTATATTAATTACCTAATTTGCATATTTATTAAATTTTTGGCTTTTCCACTGATATCTGTACTATTCTCATTTCAATGAAATTTGGTACATGAATGATCTTGGGCAATGCACAGACCTTCTTAATTTGAGTTCAAATCTGTGCATATTAATCACCTAATTTGCATTTTAATTCATAATTTTCCATTGATATCTCAAGACCTTATTAGTTTTGCATTAAAAACGCGTGTAAAATACATTTGTTTGTTTACATGAAATTCGAGCACGCCCCGCGCGACGACCACAATAACTGCATGCATTGGAGTCGGTGGTACTACACAACAGATAACTCACTACCTGTCATTTGACCAGAAAAGCATCCCATCCACATTGTGGGACTGTGGGTAATACAATAACCCGCTTCCGTTTGGACCTCACTGATGTCACACGCGTCTTTTAATCTTTTTAATGCAGACGTGCCATCTTCCGGAAGTTAATTTGTTAATTTGTGTCGGGATTTGCTTCAATTTGGGTATGGGAGGGAAGAGAAATTGAAGAAACCGTGGGAACTGTCTGCGTTAATTCTATCTATCCTTTGTTGTCCCTATTGTTATACAGACAATGTCAGATAAGTTTATAACTCTTCAACCATTTCCTGCTTTGCGAATTGCGACGATGACAACCATGATGTCACCGCGACGTAATACAGCAAGGTTGAAGGACGTTACATTTACGACAATTCTATTTCACCGGAGGGGTGTTAGGATACTAAAGTGTGGGGCATTCGTCCAAAACTGTAAAACCGGGCGCAATTTTGTTGATTCGGGGAACTGTAGAATATAGTCTGATTTTCACAGGGGCCCTTTCCACGAAACTTGTCTTTCAAAGTAACAGCCATTAGTTGTTTTCCCCTTTGTAACACGAAACCGGTAGTTCACGGTCTGTTCCGCTTAGCACGCTCTTATTATGTTACTTCGCGGAATTTGAGAGAGGACACATCCCACTTTCTCGACGGCACGGGAAGTTGAAGTAGATCTTTGTTGAAAACGTTGTGATTATTCATCCTGCGATCATTTAATGTTGATACATCCATGATACATCATAACCCGTAAACGAACGGCTTCGTTTACCATGGCTACATTTCAGACGTTTCTTTTACTTTGTATTATTGCAGCGTCGATGTTCATTTATCTTACAGGTAAGTGCCGTAAAACGAATAAATATGTACGAATTACATACGGTAAATGTTCGGTCTCATCACACGATGTCAAATATTACTCGATCCTCATTCACATGCGACACACGATATCATTGGCATGGCACGCCTGTTCATGTCCATCGCGTTTTGTGACTTTTAAATAGGGATGTGCTTCAGACTGCGCCTAGCTTCTTTTTCGTAATTTGCAGTATTATATTCTGCAATATTTGAGACTAATTTTTTCAAAGAATTGATTTATTTCGTCGGAACTGTAGTCCCTTGAAGCTCAGAGTACTAGTCTGAGCTTGAAGTCATAGCTGTAGGGTTCCCTGGTAGTGGGTAAGCAACGCGTTGATGTGGTGTTAATACACGGAGTCCAATCCCAGAGTCTACAGTTACATTGTGAAATTCTTTGCCCAGGATTTACAAAATACTTTTTATTGTGTTCATTTCCCCACTAAAGATTGTTACACTTCTCACAAATTGAATTGTTTGTGAAGGAAACAATGATTTTGTTGTTAATTTTCATATTAATTTGATTGTACTAAGCAAAAATAAAACCCAGCCAATCACAGCGATTTCCATCCACAACTATAATGATAAGAATAATCTTTTCTTACACCGTAAAGAAAATATAAAAATTCATTCCAAGGCGGAATGTAATAAAGTAACAGTGAACAAAGAAGTAAAACTCTAGTACGACTCTCTTTGTATACTGTGTTTTAGGTGAGACTAGTTTACGGTTTGGTGCTTTATTTCTCGGATTTGATAAGTGAATACACAGATCATGTGTTTCTACTAACGTCATGGCGTCACTCTTTTATTGTATTTTCTCCGAGCGATTTTTTTTTTTAAATTCAAAAATATCCCTCCTTCACCAGAAATAGCCGCTAAACTGTGTTTTGTATGACAGAAGTGTTTGTTCTGCTCGTGAAAACACCTTACATAGTATGTGTCTCGTGATCTGATAAATATGTCTGAGCCCCACTCAATCAGTAATTAGTCTCACGGAACGATAGATGCGTCCATTATAATATAACGACAACGGGGAAAAGCAAATACGTTTTTCGACTCCTTGATGTGTGGATGTCTGCGAGTACATACCCAAGGTAGGAATGTGGACGCATTACGTGGTTCATTCGTGGAACAGTTTGCTGACATCCTATGACGCAATGTAACGACTAGAAATGAATATATTGTATCATGTACAAGAGATCAAATATTGGTTTAGCACCAACGCCGACAGACATCTTACAGGTGTAA